TCCTTGAAGGTGAGGTCTTCCGACATTACCACTCTCAGGTCCTTCACATTGCCTTTCCACTCTACTGTGTTATTATTGTTATTATTTCCTCCAGTTTTCCATAACGGAGTAGTTGGAATTTGTCTTATTTGAACATCATATTGTTCTCCGTTGCCCATTGGAAAACTTGGTTTATATCTTCTTGGAGATTTGCCGTGTCCTCATGCAGATCCTAGTATCATCTGCAAAGGATGATACGGTGCTATGGTTTACATCTCTGTCTATGTCTGATATGAGAATGAGAAACAGGATAGGTGCGAGTACTGTGCCTTGTACAACAGAGCTCTTCTCTATGGCAGTTTCCGATATAACTTTGTTTACCATTACTCTTTGTGTTCGATTGGTTAGCAAGTTGAAGATCCATCTGCCTACTTTGCCAGTTATCCCTTTAGCACGCATTTTATGTGCAATTACACCATGATCGCTCTTGCAAAATCTGTGTATACTACATCTGCATTCTGTTTGTTTTCCGTGCATCTAAGACCAGATCATAGTAGTTCAGCAGTTGCAAGAGGCAGGAGCGACCTGCTCTGAAACCATGTTCCCCTGGATTGTGCAGTTTTGGGAGTCCAAGTGGTTTGCAATCCTGCTTCTTAGAACTCTTTCAAAGATTTTTGTGATGTGGGACGTTAAGCTATTGGTCAATAGTTCTTAGCTCTTGCTTTACTGCCACCTTTATGGAGTTGGGCTATATCCGTTGTTTGTAGTGACTGGAATCTCGCCTGTGTCTAAGCTCCTTCTCCATAGCATACTTAGGGCCCGTGAGAGGGGTTTCTTGCAATTCTTAATGAACCCCAGAGTTCCACGAGTCTGGGCCTGGGGCTGAGTACATGGGCATGTCGTCGATGACTTTCTCAAAATCTAGTGGAGTTAGGTTTATGTCAGAAATTTGGCATCCATTGGCAGGGTTTTGAGGTCATCATGATAAAATTGTTTGGATTGTCTATCTTCAGTTTGATTTGTGGCTCGCTGAACACAAGAGTCATATTGAGATTTCAGTATCTCACTCATTTCTTTGTTGTCAACTGTGTAGGATCCGTCTTGTCTGAGCAGGGGCCCTATACTAGAAGTAGTTTTTGGCCTTGTGTTTGGCATATGAAATGAAATATTCCGAATTTCTTTCAATTTCACTAATCGCTTTTAGCTCCTCTTGCCTCTCCTGGATCCTGTATGAGTCCTTTAACTTAGCTCAATATTTTCCACTTTCCTGGTTAGCACTTCCTTCCGTGTTTCAGATAATCTGGCATTCTTGAGGAGCTCAGTGATTCTTCGCCTTCTCTGTAGAGGGAGCATCTCTCTCCAATTTACTTCTTCTCTTCTTTTTTTTTAGGGGAATATTCCTTGAACATACTTCAGCTACCAGGAAGTTGATCTTTTCAAGGCACTGGTTAGAGCCCATTTCATTTAAGACATCTTTTGGCCACATTCCTCCATTTTAAGTGTCTTAAGTTGAAATCACCCAACAACAAGATATTTGGGGCTGGGGTCGAAAGACTTTCCAGACAGTAAATTTTCAAAAGCTGTTCCTTGAATTGTTGGGAAGTTGTATCAAAAGGCTTGTATACAGCCACAATGACAATGTTTTGGTTTTCAATTTCTTTACCGCCAAAACTTAAACTACATTCATTTGTGGTGTTCAGTAATTTCGAGCAAATAAGTGACTGTGTGACAACCAGACCAACCCTCTCTTGTTGCCTGTTCTTTCTGTCACATCTGAATAAGTTGTACCCTGGGATTTATATTTCGTTGTCAAAGTGATCTTTTTGTTTGTGTGTTTGTGAAAGCTGCGAACATTGTATTGGACTCTGTGAGGAATCCACTGATGAAAGGCATTTTGTTTGTTGATAGCTTTAAACCCTGTATAATTGAAAAATACACATGTTATCGTATTGGTGGTGTGTAGGGAGGCTTTATTTTCCGGCACTAATATCTCTTTCTTAGTATTTGACTGGCCCCTCTTACTCTTTCCACCTCCCGCTACTTCTTTCCACCTCCACTACTACCATCACCTCTTCCACTACTACTACTACCACCTCCTGCCTACATATAACCATCCTGCTCTCCTTCTCGTTAGTGTGAATTTGTAAATGGTTTAAGTCGGACCGAAACGTCGTCGTAAGCTCCTCTTTCTATGTGCGGGTTATTTGTGTATCCCTTCCCGTCAAGGTATTGTGCCTTTTTTGCTATTTATCTATTGTCCTGTAAAGGGGACACTGATTGTTACTCCACTCCAGTAGTTATCCGAGGTGGTGTAGTATTTTTGTCATTTTCTGCCGGTTTTTTTCTTCCCTCCATGCAGGTAAAACCAACAATCCAGGATAGTAACCTCACATCAACCGAGCCACTTAGGTGAACAAGAGAGAGGTCGGCTGGAAACCTGCCACAAGGGCCAACTTCATCGTAAGTGGGCCCCCTGGATCTCTGGAGAGGCGTCAGGATATCCCCAGATGATCCAGATTCCATGGTAAACTTCATCACCACCAAGTACCTCGGTGGAATGGGAAGGACAACAACACTAATTCAAACGCACCCTAGGAGCTAGAACTTCAGAAGACCCCAGAGGCCAAAAACAAGAGAGGGCAGAGAGGGAAGGGATGAAGAAAGGAGGAATGGGAGAGAAGGAATGGGAAGGATGGGGCAGGAAAGGGTGGAATGGAGATAATTAGGTTCAGTCGGAGGAAGAAGACCGAAAAGTACAATTTCTCAGACAAAAGCCTCTTCACAGCTTCAAAGAGTCCATTATTAATATAAATAATGGTGGAGGTAAACTTTTAATACAGTTGTTCTTCTTTCATATTTATCATTTATTTCTTGTAGACAATAATGCTAGAAATCCAAGTTTTCAAATTATTTTGTTGTAATAGGAACATTAATACATGAACACTAAATACATGAATACATCATTTATCGAACAGTAAACCTTTAACTATAATAGTGCCTCGTTTATCCACCTATCATTAGTGATGGATTCTTCGAGTCTTTCAGATAATGAAGCTACGTGATCATAAAGCAATTGTTTCCTTCTTAGGATCTCCCATTCTTCCTTTGCTTGGTTTAGTAATCGCCCTAAAGTTCTTTCTTGACAGTGAGAGGAACCTGGTGGTTAGAAGGATAAATCTGAAGAAAGTAGGTACTGCAGCAGGATGTGACCTGTGATACTTGCATTACTTAAATCTTAATAACAAAAATCTCCCAAATCAGAGCTAGATAATATTGTTGCAGTGCCAGAGTATTTTAGGGCCCATCAGTTGCCTGAAGGTTTGGGTTTAGGGAGGAGGAACTGCCACCACAAGTATCAAGTGCCACACCACTGGAACAGCCAAGACGCATGTACACAAACATTTCACAAAAATTTTAAGAAATATATTGAAATTTGTTTTGAATACCTTGATGAAATGTGTTTCCAGGTCAAGCCTAGTTTTTTTTAAACTAAAAAAACCTTGCCCAAGCGGGTAAGTTGGGGGCTACCGGGAAGCTACCCATAACAACCTTGCCCAAGCGGGTAAGTTGGGGGCTACCCGGGAAGCTACCATAAACAACCTTGCCCAAGCGGTAAGTTGGGGGCTACCCGGGAAGCTACCCATAACAACCTTGCCCAGGCGGGTAAGTTGGGGGCTACCCGGGAAGCTACCCATAACAACCTTGCCCAGGCGGGTAAGTTGGGGGCTACCGGGAAGCTACCCATAACAACCTTGCCAAGCGGGTAAGTTGGGGGCTACCCGGGAAGCTACCCATAACAACCTTGCCCAGGCGGGTAAGTGGGGAGCTACCTGTGAACCTACCCACAGCAACCTTGCCCAGGCGGGTAAGTTGGGGGCTACCCGGGAAGCTACCCATAACAACCTTGCCCAGGCGGGTAAGTGGGGAGCTACCTGGGAAGCTACCCATAACAACCTTGCCCAGGCGGGTAAGTTGGGGGCTACCCGGGAAGCTACCCATAAAAACCTTGCCCAGGCGGGTAAGTTGGGGGCTACCCGGGAAGCTACCATAACAACCTTGCCCAAGCGGTAAGTTGGGGGCTACCCGGGAAGCTACCCATAACAACCTTGCCCAGGCGGGTAAGTTGGGGGCTACCCGGGAAGCTACCCATAACAACCTTGCCCAGGCGGGTAAGTTGGGGGCTACCCGGGAAGCTACCCACAACCACCTTGCCCAGGCGGGTAAGTGGGGAGCTACCCGGGAAGCTACCCACAACAACCTTGCCCAGCGGGTAAGTGGGGAGCTACCCCGGAAAGCTACCCACAGCAACCTTGCCCCAAACGGGTAAGTGGGGAGCTACCTGGGAAGCTACCCACAACAACCTTGCCCAAGCGGGTAAGTGGGGAGCTACCCGGAAAGCTACCCACAGCAACCTTGCCCAAGCGGGTAAGTGGGGAGCTACCCGTGAAGCTACCCACAACAACCTTACCTTACAGGCACAATGTACTTTGTAGTGTTTTGTAGTCTAGAAAACTCTTGCAACTGTGTAGTCTGTCTGTGAAAAACAGAACTGTAACGTTGAAAAGTCTAATATCCACTGGAAATTGGTCCAAGTTAAAATTATTAAACACACTGTGTCAAGCTACTAAATCTACTGCACAATAATCTTGTCTGTTTCCACAGTGTAACAATGAAACTTGTGTAGTGGCTGACATGTCCTCACACAGTCTTCTCCTCCAGCACTGTCAGGAACACCAGCTGACATGTCCTCACATAGTCTTCTCCTCCAGCACTGTCAGAAACACCAGCTGACATGTCCTCACATAGTCTTCTCCTCCAGCACTGTCAGAAACACCAGCTGACATGTCCTCACATAGTCTTTCCTCCAGCACTGTCAGAAACACCAGCTGACATGTCCTCACATAGTCTTCTCCTCCAGCACTGTCAGAAACACCAGCTGACATGTCCTCACATAGTCTTCTCCTCCAGCACTGTCAGAAACACCAGCTGACATGTCCTCACACAGTCTTTTTCCCCCAGCACTGTCAGAAACACCAGCTGACATGTCCTCACATAGTCTTCTCCTCCAGCAATGTCAGAAACACCAGCTGACATGTCCTCACATAGTCTCCTCCAGCACTTCAGAAACACCCGCTGACATGTCCTCACACAGTCTTCTCCTCCGGCACTGTCAGGAACACCATCTGACACAGGTACCTCACTTTGTCTGTAAACAATGGGCATAAGTCTTAATTTTAGAGTAGTAGGTTGTAGGTAGTAGGTTGGTAGACAGCAACCACCCAGGGAAGTACTACCGTCCTGTCAGATGACTGTGAAACAAAAACCTGTAACTGTTTTGCATGATGGTAGGATTGCTGGTTTCTTTTTCTGTCTCATAAACACGCTAAGATAACAGGGATATCTTGCTACTCCTACTTACACTTTGGTCACACTTCACAGACACGCACATGCATATACGTATATATATACATACATCTAGGTTTTTCTCCTTTTTCTAAATAGCTCTTGTTCTTTTTTATTTCTTCTATTGTCCATGGGGAAGTGGAAAAGAATCTTTCCTCCGTAAGCCATGCGTGTCGTATGAGGCGACTAAAATGCCGGGAGCAATGGGCTAGTAACCCCTTCTCCTGTATACAATTACTAAAAAAGAGAAGAAGAAAAACTTTATAAAACTGGGTTGCTTAAATGTGCGTGGATGTAGTGCGGATGACAAGAAACAGATGATTGCTGATGTTATGAATGAAAAAAAGTTGGATGTCCTGGCCCTAAGCGAAACAAAGCTGAAGGGGGTAGGAGAGTTTCAGTGGGGGGAAATAAATGGGATTAAATCTGGAGTATCTGAGAGAGTTAGAGCAAAGGAAGGGGTAGCAGTAATGTTAAATGATCAGTTATGGAAGGAGAAAAGAGAATATGAATGTGTAAATTAAAGAATTATGTGGATTAAGTAAAGGTTGGATGCGAGAAGTGGGTCATAATAAGCGTGTATGCACTGGAGAAGAGAGGAATGCAGAGGAGAGAGAGAGATTTTGGGAGATGTTAAGTGAATGTATAGGAGCCTTTGAACCAAGTGAAGAGTAATTGTGGTAGGGGACTTGAATGCTAAAGTAGGAGAAACTTCTAGAGAGGGTGTGGTAGGTAAGTTTGGGGTGCCAGGTGTAAATGATAATGGGAGCCCTTTGATTGAACTTTGTTTTAGAAAGGGGTTTAGTTATAGGTAATACATATTTTAAGAAAAAGAGGATAAATAAGTATACACGATATGATGTAGGGCGAAATGACAGTAGTTTGTTGGATTATGTATTGGTAGATAAAAGACTGTTGAGTAGACTTCAGGATGTACATGTTTATAGAGGGGCCACAGATATATCAGATCACTTTCTAGTTGTAGCTACACTGAGAGTAAAAGGTAGATGGGATTTCAAGGAGAATAGAAGCATCAGGGAAGAGAGAGGTGATGGTTTATAAACTAAAAGAGGAGGCAGTTAGGGTAAGATATAAACAGCTATTGGAGGATAGATGGGCTAATGAGAGCATAGACAATGGGGTCGAAGAGGTATGGGGTAGGTTTAAAAATGTAGTGTTAGAGTGTTCAGCAGAAGTTTGTGGTTACAGGAAAGTGGGTGCAGGAGGGAAGAGGAGCGATTGGTGGAATGATGATGTAAAGAGAGTAGTAAGGGAGAAAAAGTTAGCATATGAGAAGTTTTTACAAAGTAGAAGTGATGCAAGGAGGGAAGAGTATATGGAGAAAAAGAGAGAAGTTAAGAGAGTGGTGAAGCAATGTAAAAAGAGAGCAAATGAGAGAGTGGGTGAGATGTTATCAACAAATTTTGTTGAAAATAAGAAAAAGTTTTGGAGTGAGATTAACAAGTTAAGAAAGCCTAGAGAACAAATGGATTTTTCAGTTAAAAATAGGAGAGGAGAGTTATTAAATGGAGAGTTAGAGGTATTGGGAAGATGGAAGGAATATTTTGAGGAATTGTTAAATGTTGATGAAGATAGGGAAGCTGTGATTTCGTGTATAGGGCAAGGAGGAATAACATCTTGTAGGAGTGAGGAAGAGCCAGTTGTGAGTGTGGGGGAAGTTCGTGAGGCAGTAGGTAAAATGAAGGGGGTAAGGCAGCCGGGATTGATGGGATAAAGATAGAAATGTTAAAAGCAGGTGGGGGTATAGTTTTGGAGTGGTTGGTGCAATTATTTAATAAATGTATGGAAGAGGGTAAGGTACCTAGGGATTGGCAGAGAGCATGCATAGTTCCCTTTTTATAAAGGCAAAGGGGATAAAAGAGAGTGCAAAAATTATAGGGGGATAAGTCTGTTGAGTGTACCTGGTAAAGTGTATGGTAGAGTTATAATTGAAAGAATTAAGAGTAAGACGGAGAAAAGGATAGCAGATGAACAAGGAGGCTTTAGGAAAGGTAGGGGTGTGTGGACCAGGTGTTTACAGTGAAACATATAAGTGAACAGTATTTTAGATAAGGCTAAAGAGGTCTTTGTGGCATTTATGGATTTGGAAAAGGCGTATGACAGGGTGGATAGGGGGGCAATGTGGCAGATGTTGCAAGGGTTTTGGTGTAGGAGGTAGGTTACTGAAAGCAGTGAAGAGTTTTTACGAGGATAGTGAGGCTCAAGTTAGAGTATGTAGGAAAGAGGGAAATTTTTTCCCAGTAAAAGTAGGCCTTAGACAAGGATGTGTGATGTCACCGTGGTTGTTTAATTATTTATAGATGGGGTTGTAAGAGAAGTAAATGCGAGGGTCTTGGCAAGAGGCGTGGAGTTAAAAGATAAAGAATCACACACAAAGTGGGAGTTGTCACAGCTGCTCTTTGCTGATGACACTGTGCTCTTGGGAGATTCTGAAGAGAAGTTGCAGAGATTGGTGGATGAATTTGGTAGGGTGTGCAAAAGAAGAAAATTAAAGGTGAATACAGGAAAGAGTAAGGTTATGAGGATAACAAAAAGATTAGGTGATGAAAGATTGAATATCAGATGGAGGGAGAGAGTTATGGAGGAGGTGAACGTATTCAGATTTTTGGGGAGTGGAGTGTCAGCGGAGGGGTCTATGAAAGATGAGGTGAATCATAGAATTGATGAGGGAAAAAAGAGTGAGTGGTGCACTTAGGGTCTGTGGAGACAAAGAACTTTGTCCTTGGAGGCAAAGAGGGGAATTATGAGAGTATAGTTTTACCAACGCTTTATATGGGTGTGAAGCGTGGGTGATGAATGTTGCAGCGAGGAGAAGGCTGGAGGCAGTGGAGATGTCATGTCTGAGGGGAATGTGTGGTGTGAATATAATGCAGAGAATTCGTAGTTTGGAAATTAGGAGGAGGTGCGGGATTACCCAAAATGTTGTCCAGAGGGCTGAGGAAGGGTTGTTGAGGTGGTTCGGACATGTAGAGAGAATGGAGCGAAACAGAATGACTTTAAGAGTGGTATCAGTCTGTAGTGGAAGGAAGGCGGGGTAGGGGTCGGCCTAGGAAGGGTTGGAGGGAGGGGGTAAAAAGGGGGTTTTGTGTGCGAGGGGCTTGGACTTCCAGCAGGCATGCGTGAGCGTGTTGATAGGAGTGAATGGAGACAAATGGTTTTTAATACTTGACGTGCTGTTGGAGTGTGAGCAAAGTAACATTTATGAAGGGATTCAGGGAAACCGGGAGGCCGGACTTGAGTCTGGAGATGGGAATACAGTGCCTGCACTCTGAAGGAGGGGTGTTAATGTTGCAGTTTAAAAACTGTAGTGTAAAGCACCCTTCTGGCAAGACAGTGATGGAGTGAATGATGGTGAAAGTTTTTCTTTTTCGGGCCACCCTGCCTTGGTGGGAATCGGCCGGTGTGATGATAAAATGATAATTAAACATAAAATTGAAACCCGTGAAATAAAATTAATATAACTTTATAAGAATCTGTACTCACAGACCTAACAAATTCCTTTTAAATATTTTAATTTATCTTAATAATAACAGATGATAGGTATTTCAGTTTACATTTAATCTTGGCCTTCCTGTCTGTACTTATCGGTTCTTAATCCAACAACGTTCCTGGAACAAGGAATTAGTTACCCAATCTTTCGTATATTTATTATGAATAATAACAATAAGCTTTATTTCTACGAGTACATGATACAACTTATACAGACCATAGCTGACATCAGTGACATACTATATAGAACGCTTCTGGTTATGTAGAGTAATTCGGGCGACCCACACCAGCCGGCTGACCATACACAAATACCGAATAGAGAAGAGGCAAAAATTTTTAAAAACTTCGGGGTCACATGGGCCTTCCCCTTCTCTTGTTCTTGGTAATTTTACATGGAAATTTCGAGACTGTTCTTCTTCCACTATTGATGGCGCCCCTTCACTCTGGTCCGCTGTGTAGATGAAGTGAACTTTGCTTTTTGGGCCTCATACTCTTATCTCTAGGCTTCGTTTCCTTGATGTTCATGTCCCCCGATAATACATTTAATGCCTTTTCCGTGTCCCCGCAAGGGCATGTACCGCAGTGGCATGTACATTCATACTTTTTTTAAAAGGTTCCCTGTAAAGAAAAGGTTTTATCCCCCTCTTTTTCCGTCCCCTCCGTTTTTGGATCCCAATTACTTGAATCAGAAAATTTCCCACTTTCAAAAATTCTTTTCCCCGTTTTGGCTCCTCTTCCCATTTAAAAGATTTCCCCTTTCCAGTATTAAACAACTTTCTTCCCCCAAACTCTCTACCCCGGGGAATCTCTGCCCTTCCCTTTTCCCTCATTTCCCGGGACTCTATTTCTTTTTCCCTCTGTGTTCCATACTTTGGAGGAAGGCCCCTATCTCTTTTCTGAAGACTTGGGAGCACAATAGATGTTGGGCTTTCGACACCAAACATTTTTTCTTTTCTATAATGCCAAATCACATCACGTACGATGGTTTTTCTGCAAAAAACTGTCTCCCCCCTATTTCCCAATTTTTACAGTCGCCGTCTGGTTGAATCCCCCTTTATTCACAATTTTCCTTTGTATGAATTTTTATCGTGGCTTCGCCTCTGAATCCCTTTTCCTTTTCCCAATACATTGTAAATGCCCAAACTTCAGAACCCCCGGCAAAAACCTGATTTCTTTTTTTCTTTTCCCCCTTCCCCCTTTTCTCTTCCTTTTTCCCTTTTAAGTCTTTTTTGCCTTGGGTATTTGTTGCTTCATTTTTCCCCCCTCCCCTCTGTGTTTTATTTCTACCCTTGG